TTATCCTCATCTTCTTCATTTCTTCTTCTCATCCTATTTATCCTCATCTTCTTCTTCCATTTCTATTATCCATTATTATTCACCATCTGCCTTTTCTTTCTTTTCCCATTCTCCATCCTATTCACCATCATCTTCTTCTTCCCATTATTATTATTATTATTATTCCCTCTGCCTTTTCCTTCTTCTTTATCCTCATCTTCTTCATTTTCTACTTCTCCATCCTATTCACCATCATCTTCTTCTTCCCATTATTATTATTATTATTATTATTATTATTTATTATTCCCTCTGCCTTTTCCTTCTTCTTTATCCTCATCTTCTTCATTTTCTACTTCTCCATCCTATTCACCATCATCTTCTTCTTCCCATTATTATTATTATTATTATTATTCTTTATTATTATTATTATTATTCCCATTCCCATCATCCTTTTCCCTTTTCTTTATTATTATTCCTCTTCTTCTTCTTCTTTTCTATCTTCTCCATCCTATTCTCCCATCTCTTCTTCTTCCCATTATTATTATTATTATTATTATTATTATTATTATTTTCCTTCTTCTTTCTTCCTCATCTTCTTCATTTTCTACTTCTCCATCCTATTCACCATCATCTTCTTCTTTATTATTATTATTATTATTATTATTATTATTCCCTCTTCCTTTTCCTTCTTCTTTATCCTCATCTTCTTCATTTTCTACTTCTCCATCCTATTCACCATCATCTTCTTCTTCCCATTATTATTATTATTATTATTATTATTATCCCTCTTCCTTTTCCTTCTTCTTTTATCCTCATCTTCTTCATTTCTGCTTCTCCATCCTATTCACCATCATCTTCTTCTTCCCATTATTATTATTATTATTATTATTATTATTCCCCTCTTCCTTTTCCTTCTTCTTTATCCTCATCTTCTTCATTTTCTACTTCTCCATCCTATTCACCATCCTCTTCTTCTTCCCATTTATTATTATTATTATTATTATTATTATTATTTCCTTTTTCCTTCTTCTTTTTTCATTTTTATCCTATTCACCATCATCTTCTTCATTTTCTACTTCTTCCATCCTATTCACCATCATCTTCTTCTTCCCATTATTATTATTATTATTATTATTATTATTATTATTATTATTATTATTCCCTCTTCCTTTTTCCTTCTTCTTTATCCTCATCTTCTTCATTTTCTACTTCTCCATCCTATTCACCATCCTCTTCTTCTTCCCATTATTATTATTATTATTATTATTATTATTCCCTCTTCCTTTTCCTTCTTCTTTATCCTCATCTTCTTCATTTTCTTCTCCATCCTATTCACCATCATCTTCTTCTTCCATTATTATTATTATTATTATTATTATTATTCCCCTCTTCCTTTTCCTTCTTCTTTATCCTCATCTTCTTCATTTTCTACTTCTCCATCCTATTCACCATCATCTTCTTCTTCCCATTATTATTATTATTATTATTATTATTATTCCCCTCTTCCTTTTCCTTCTTCTTTATCCTCATCTTCTTCATTTTCTACTTCTCCATCCTATTCACCATCATCTTCTTCTTCCCATTATTATTATTATTATTATTATTCCCCTCTTCCTTTTCCTTCTTCTTTATCCTCATCTTCTTCATTTTCTACTTCTCCATCCTATTCACCATCATCTTCTTCTTCCCATTATTATTATTATTATTATTATTATTATTATTCCCCTCTTCCTTTTCCTTCTTCTTTATCCTCATCTTCTTCATTTTCTACTTCTCCATCCTATTCACCATCCTCTTCTTCTTATTATTATTATTATTATTATTATTATTATTATTATTCCCCTTCCTTTTCCTTCTTCTTTATCCTCATCTTCTTCATTTTCTACTTCTCCATCCTATTCACCATCATCTTCTTCTTCCCATTATTATTATTATTATTATTATTATTCCCCCTTCTTCCTTTTCCTTCTTCTTTATCCTCATCTTCTTCATTTTCTACTTCTCCATCCTATTCACCATCTTCTTCTTCTTCCCATTATTTATTATTATTATTATTATTATTCCCCTCTTCCTTTTCCTTCTTCTTTATCCTCATCTTCTTCATTTTCTTCTTCTCCATCCTATTCACCACCATCATCTTCTTCTTCCCATTATTATTATTATTATTATTCCCCTCTTCCTTTTCCTTCTTCTTTATCCTCATCTACTTCATTTTCTACTTCTCCATCCTATTCACCATCATCTTCTTCTTCCCATTATTATTATTATTATTATTATTATTCCCTCTTCCTTTCCTTCTTCTTTATCCTCATCTTCTTCATTTTCTACTTCCATCCTATTCACCATCCTCTTCTTCTTCCCATTATTATTATTATTATTATTATTATTATTCCCTCTTCCTTTTCTTCTTCTTTATCCTCATCTTCTTCATTTTCTACTTTCCATCCTATTCACCATCCTCTTCTTCTTCCCATTATTATTATTATTATTATTATTATTATTATTATTATTATTCCTTCCCTTTTTCCTTTTCTTCATTTTCTCTTCTCCATTATTCCTCCTCTTCTTCTTCCCATTTTCTACTTATTCCATCCTATTCCCCCTTCCTCTTCTTCTTCCCCATTATTATTATTATTATTATTATTATTATTATTTCCCTTCTTCCTTCTTCTTTTATCCTTATTCTTATTTTATTTTCCCTCTTCCTTTTCCTTCTTATTCATCATCATCTTCTTCATTTTTCTTCTTCTCCATCCTATTCACCATTCTTCTTCTTCCATTATTATTATTATTATTATTATTCCCTCTTCCTTTTCCTTCTTCTTTATCCTCATCTTCTTCATTTTCTACTTCTCCATCCTATTCACCATCTTCTTCTTCTTCCCATTATTATTATTATTATTATTATTATTCCCTCTTCCTTTTCCTTCTTCTTTATCCTCATCTTCTTCATTTTTCTACTTCCATCCTATTCACCATCCTCTTCTTCCCTTATTATTATTATTATTATTATTATTATTATTCCCCTTCTTTTTTTTCTTCTTCTTTATCCTCATCTTCTTCATTTTCTACTTCTCCATCCTATTCACCATCCTCTTCTTCTTCCCATTATTATTATTATTGCCTTTTATTATTATCCCTCTGCCTTTTTCCTTCTTCTTTATCCTCATCTTCTTCATTTTCTACTTCTCCATCCTATTCACCATCATCTTCTTCTTCTTCCCATTATTATTATTATTATTATTATTATTATTATTATTCCCCTCTTCCTTTTCCTTCTTCTTTATCCTCATCTTTTCATTTTCTACTTCTCCATCCTATTCACCATCATCTTCTTCCCCATTATTATTATTATTATTATTATTATTATTATTATTCCCTTCCTTTCCTTCTTCTTTATCCTCATCTTCTTCATTTTCTACTTCTCCATCCTATTCACCATCATCTTCTTCTTCCCATTATTATTATTATTATTATTATTATTATTATTCCTCTTCCTTTTACTTCTTCTTTATCCTCATCTTCTTCATTTTCTCTTCCATCCTATTCACCATCCTCTTCTTCTTCCCATTATTATTATTATTATTCCCCTCTTCCTTTTCCTTCTTCTTTATCCTCATCTTCTTCATTTTCTACTTCTCCATCCTATTCACCATCCTCTTCTTCTTCCCATTATTATTATTATTATTATTATTATTATTATTATTATTCCCCTCTTCCTTTTCCTTCTTCTTTATCCTCATCTTCTTCATTTTCTACTTCTCCATCCTATTCACCATCCTCTTCTTCTTCCCATTATTATTATTATTATTATTATTATTCCCCTCTTCCTTTTCCTTCTTCTTTATCCTCATCTTCTTCATTTTCTACTTCTCCATCCTATTCACCATCCTCTTCTTCTTCCCATTATTATTATTATTATTATTATTATTATTATTCCCCTCTTCCTTTTCCTTCTTCTTTATCCTCATCTTCTTCATTTTCTACTTCTCCATCCTATTCACCATCCTCTTCTTCTTCCCATTATTATTATTATTTTTATTATTCCCCTTCCTTTTCATTCTTCTTTATCCTCATCTTCTTCATTTTCTACTTCTCCATCCTATTCATCATCTTCTTCTTCTTCCCATTATTATTATTATTATTATTATTATTATTATTATTATTATTCCTCTTCCTTTTCCTTCTTCTTTATCCTCATCTTCTTCATTTTCTCTTCTCCATCCTATTCACCATCCTCTTCTTCTTCCCATTATTATTATTATTATTATTATTATTCTTATTATTCCTTCTTCTTTTTCCTCATCTTCTTCTTTTATCCTCATCCTATTCTTCATTCTTCTTCTTCTCCATTATTATTCACCATCCCTTTCTTCTTCTTTTCCCATTATTATTTTATTATTATTATTATTCTTCCATTATTCTTTATTTTATTCTTATTTATCCTTCTTTTTCTTCTTTTTCATTTTTTCTTCTTCCATCCTATTCACCATCCTCTTCTTCTTCCCCATTATTATTATTATTATTATTATTATTATTATTATTATTCCATCCTCTTCATTTCATCCTTATTTTCTTTATCCCCTCTGCCTTTTTTCTTTTTAACCTCATTCTTCTTATTATTCTCCATCCTATTCACCATCCTCTTCTTCTTTCCCATTATTATTATTATTATCATTATTATTATTCTCTCCATCTTCCTTTATTCTTTATCCTCATCCTCTTCATTTTCTACTTCTCCATCCTATTCACCATCCCTTCTTCTTCCCATTATTATTATTATTATTATTATTATTATTATTCTGCCTTTTCCTTCTTCTTTATCCTCATCTTCTTCATTTTCTACTTCTCCATCCCATATCCTCTTCTTCTTCCCATTATTATTATTATTATTATTATTATTATTGCCTTTTCCTTTCCTTCTTCTTTATCCTCATCTTCTTTCATTTTCTACTTCTCCATCCTATTCACCATCATCTTCTTCTTTCCCATTATTATTATTATTATTATTATTATTATTTATGCCTTTCTTCTTTTCTTTCTTTTTATCCTCATCTTCTTCATTTTCTACTTCCATCCTATTCACCATCCTCTTCTTCTTCCCATTATTATTATTATTATTATTATTATTATTCCCTCTGCCTTTTCCTTCTTCTTTATCCTCATCTTCTTCATTTTCTACTTCCTTCTTCCTATTCACCATCCTCTTCTTCCTTCCCATTATTCTTTATCCTATCTTATTATTCACCATCCCTCTTCCCTTTTCCTTTCTCCTTCTTTTATCCTCATCTTCTTCATTTTCTACTTCTCCATCCCTATTCACCATCCTCTTCTTCTTCCCATTATTATTATTATTATTATTATTATTATTCCCCTTCCTTTTCCTTCTTCTTCTTTATCCTCATCTTCTTTCATTTTCTACTCTCCATCCTATTCACCATCCTCTTCTTCTTCCCATTATTTATTATTATTATTATTATTCCCCTCTGCCTTTTCCTTCTTCTTTATCCTCATCTTCTTTCATTTTCTACTCTCCATCCCATTCACCATCCCTTTCTTTCTTCCCATTATTATTATTATTATTCCCCTTCCTTTTCCCTTCTTTCTTTATCCTCTCATCTTTCATTTTCACTTCTCCATCCTATTCACCATCCTTTCTTTTTCCTTCCCATTATTATTATTATTATTATTATTTCTTCTTATATCCTCATCTTCTTCATTTTCTCCTTCCATCCTATTCACCATCCTCTCTTTCTTTTCACACATCCTCATCTTCCCTTCCCATTATTCTTCTTTATCCTCATTATTCTTTCATTTTCTGCCTTCTCCATCCTATTATCATCATCTTATTTTTATTTCCCATATTATTCCCTCATCCTCTTCTTCTTTTCCCATTCCTTATTTTTATTCATTCTATTTCCATTTTCTTCTTTATCCATCATATTCATTTTCTTCTTCCATCCCATTCACCATTATTATTCTTCCCATTATTATTATTATTATTATTATTCCCTCTTCCTTTTCCTTCTTCTTTATCCTCATCTTCTTCATTTTCTACTTCTCCATCCTATTCACCATCATCTTCTTTCTTCCCATTATTATTATTATTATTATTATTATTATTATTCTTCCCCCTTCTTTTCCTTTATCTTCATCTTCTTCATTTTCTACTTCTCCATCCTATTCACCATCATCTTCTTTCTTCCCATTATTATTATTATTATTATTCTTCCCTTTTCCTTCTTCTTATTCCCATCTTCTCATTTCCTCCATCCTTTCACCTTTCTTCTTCCTTCCCTTATTCATTTTTATTATCCATTATTCCTCTTCCTTTTCTTCCTTCTTATTTTATCCTCATCTTCTTCATTTTCTTCTTCTCCATCCTCATTCACCATTCCATCTTCTTCATCCATTATTATTATTATTATTATTATTATTATTATTATTCCCTCTTTTTTCCCTTCTTCTTTATCCTCATCTTCTTCATTTTCTACTTCCATCCCATTCACCATCCTCTTCTTCTTCCCATTATTATTATTATTATTATTATTCCCCTCTGCCTTTTCCTCCTTTTTTTATCCCTCATCTTCTTCATTTTTCTACTTCCATCCTATTCACCATCATCTTTTCTTCTTCCCATTATTATTATTATTATTCCCTTTCCTTTTATTTATCCCTCATCTTCTTTCATTTTCTTCTTTCCATCCTATTCACCTTCATTTTCTTCTTCCCACATTATTATTATTATTATTATTATTATTTCCTCCCATTTATTATTTTTATTATTCTTTATTCCTCATCCAATCCTATTCATTTTCTTCTTTCTTCCATCCTATTCATTTTCTTCTTCATTCACCATCCTCTTCTTTATCCTTTTATTATTCAATTATTCCTCATCCATCCTCTTCTTTTATCCTTTTCTTTATTCCCATTCTTATTATTATTCCATCCTATTCACCATCCTTTTCTTTCTTATCCCTTATCTTATTATTATTTATTATTATTATTCCCTCCATTTTATTCACTTTATCTCATCTTCTTCCCATTTTTATTATTATTATTCATTATTATTCCTTCTTCCCATTATTATTATTATTATTATATTATTCCTCTTCCTTTTCTTCTTCTCCATCCTATTCACCATCCTCTATTCACCATCCCATTATTCTTCCCATTATTATTATTATTATTCCCCTTCCTTTTTCCTTCTTCTTTATCCTCATCTTCTTCATTTTCTACTTCTCCATCCTATTCACCATCATCTTCTTCTTCCCATTATTATTATTATTATTATTATTATTATTCCCCTCTTCCTTTTCCTTCTTCTTATATCCTCATCTTCTTCATTTTCTACTTCTCCATCCTTCACCATATATTCACCATCCTCCCTTTCCCATTATTATTATTATTATTATTATTATTATCCATCCTATTCCTTTCTCTTCCTTTTATTATCCTCATGCCTTTTCATTTTCTTTTATCCATCCTCTTCACCATTTTCTTCTTCCCATTATTCCCATTATTATTATTATTATTATTATTATTATTATTATTCCTTTTTTTCTTTCTTTATCCTCATCTTCTTTCATTTTCTACTTCTCCATCCTATTCACCATCCTTCTTCTTCCCATTATTATTATTATTATTATTATTATTATTCCCTCTTCCTTTTCCCCTTTTTTTCTTTTTTATCCTCATCTTCTTCATTTTCTGTTTCCATCCTATTCACCATCCCCTTCTTTCTTCCCATTATTATTATTATTATTATACACATATTTTTCCTTATTATTATCCCTCCCTTTTTCATTTTTACTTATCCATCCTATTCACCATCCTCTTCTTCTTCCCATTATTATTACCATTCTTATTTTTCCCCCTCTCCTTTTATTATTATCCTTATCTTATTATTACACATTCTCCTTTTCTCTCCTTTATCCTCATTTTCATTTTCTACTTCTCCATCCTATTCACCATCATCTTCTTCTTCCCATTATTATTATTATTTTTATTATTATTATTATTTTGCCTTTTTATCTTTATCCTCATCTTCTTCATTTTCTACTTCCATCCTATTCACCATCTTCTTCTTCCCATTATTATTATTATTATTATTATTATTATTATTATTATTCCCTCTGCCTTTTCCTTTTCTTCTTTATCCTCATCTTCATTTTCTTTATTTCCATCCTATTCACCATCCTATTCTTTCTCCCTCTTCTTCTTCCCATTATTATTATTATTCCTTCCTTTTCTCTCTCTTCTTTTATCCTCATCTTCTTCATTTTCTACTTCCATCCTATTCACCATCATTTCTTCCCATTATTATTATTATTTTTATTATTATTATTATTCCTCTCCTTTTTCCTTCTTCTTTTTATCCTCATCTTCTTTCATTTTCTACTTCTCCATCCTATTCACCATCTTCTTCTTTCTTCCCATTATTATTATTATTATTATTATTATTATTCCCTCTTTCTTTTCCTTCTTATTATCCTCATCTTTCATTTTCTACTTCCATCCTATTCACCATCATCTCTTTCTTCCCATTATTATTATTATTATTTCTTCCTTTTTTCCTTCTTATATTATCCCTCATCTTCTTCATTTTCTGATGAGGATGTTCCATCCTATTCACCATCATCTTCCTTTCTTCCCCATTATTATTATTATTATTATATTATTATTCTCTTTTTTTCAAGATTCTTCTTTATCCTCATCTTCATTTTCTTATTCTCCATCCTATTCACCATCCTCTTCTTTTCTTCCCCATTATTATTATTATTATTATTATTATTATTTTCATCAAGATTCTTTTATCTTTAGGTCCTTACTATATTCTTCATTTTCTACTTCATCCCATGTTATTCAAACCATAGTTCTTCCCATTATTATTATTATTATTTCTGCCTTTGATGGAGGATGTTGTTTAAAATGTATCTTCTTTATTTTCCCTCATCCTATTCACCATCTTTTTCTTCTTCCCCATTCTTCTTCATTATTATTATTATTATTCCATCAAGATGAGGCCTTTTTTTCTTCTTTTTCCTCATATTATTCATTTTTATTATCCTTTATCCTCATCTTTCTTCATTTCCTTCCCATTATTATTATTATTATTTTTCCTTTTCCTTTCTTCTTCTTATCCTCATCTTCTTCATTTTCTTCTCCATCCTATTCACCATCTTCTTCTTTCTTCCCATTATTATTATTATTATTATTATTATTATTCCCTCTTCCTTTCCTTCTTCTTTTATCCTCATCTTCTTCATTTTCTACTTCTCCATCCTATTCACCATCATCTTCTTCTTCCCATTATTATTATTATTATTATTATTATTCCCTCTCCTTTTCCTTCTTCTTCTTTATCCTCATCTTCTTCATTTTCTACTTCTCCATCCTATTCACCATCTTCTTCTTTCTTCCCATTATTATTATTATTATTATTATTCCCCTCTGCCTTTTCCTTCTTCTTTATCCTCATCTTCTTCATTTTCTACTTCTCCATCCTATTCACCATCCTCTTCTTCTTCCCATTATTATTATTATTATTATTATTATTATTATCCTTTTCCTATTTTCTTCTTTATCCTCATCTTCTTCATTTCCACTTCCATCCTATTCACCATTTTCTTCTTCTTCCCATTATTATTATTATTATTTTTATTATTATTCCCCTGCCTTTTCCTTCTTCTATTTATCCTCATCTTCCATTTTCTACTTCTCCATCCCATTCACCATCTTCTTCTTCTTCCCATTATTATTATTATTATTATTATTATTCTGCCTTTTTCTTTCTTCTTTTTATCCTCATCTTCTTTCATTTTCTACTTCTCCATCCTATTCACCATCATCTCTTTCTTCCCATTATTATTATTATTATTATTATTATTATTCCTCTGCTCTTTTCCTTCTTCTTTTATCCTCATCTTCTTCATTTTCACTTCTCCATCCTATTCACCAGGATCTTCTTCTTCCCATTATTATTATTATTATTATTATTCCCCCTGCCTTTTCCTTCTTTATTATTCCTCCTCATCTTCTTCATTTTTACTTCCATCCTATTCACCATCATCTTCTTCTTCCCATTATTATTATTATTATTATTATTATTATTGTTCTTCCTTTTCCTTCATTTTATATTCATCTATTCTTCATTTTTTACTTCCTCATATTGAGGATAATAAATCTTCCCAATTATTAATTATTATTACCATCTTTATTCATCTTCTTATTTTATTATTCCATTTATTATCATCTTCTTATTAGGATTATTATTAATGTACATAAATTCTTTTTTTCTTGTTCATATTTATTCATTTTCTACTTTTTTCCATCCTATTCACCATCTTTTCCTTCTGTAGAGAAGTTATTATTATTATTATTATTATTCCCTCTCGCCCTTTCCTTCAAGATTTTATCCTCATCTTCTTCATTTTCTTCTTCCATCCTATTCACCATCCTCTTCTTCTTCCCATTAAGATTATTATTATTATTAAATTATTCCCCTTCCTTTTGTTATATTTTTATCCTCATCTTCTTCTTCATTTTCTACTTCTCCATGTTATTCACCAGAGGAGTTCTTCTTCCCATTATTATTATTATTATTATCTTTATTCCTCTGCCTTGTTAATAAAATTTAGAAGTTGTTCTTTTATTTTATTATTCCCTCATCCTTTACATCAAGATGAGGATGTTAATAATTATTATTATTATTATTATTATTATTATTATTATTCCCCTCTGCCTTTTCATTCACCATTTCTTTTATATAAATCTTCTTCATTTTCTACTTCCATCCTATTCACCATCATTCTTTTCATCCCATTAGGATATTCTTATTAATATTATTATTATTATATTTATTATTATTTATTATTTCTTTCATCTTTATTTCATTTTTCTTCTTCCATCCTATTCACCATCCTCTTCTTCTTCCCATTATTATTATTATTAATAAATCTCCTTTTCCTTTTTCTTCTTTATCCTCATCTTCTTTCATTTATTTTCCATCCCATTCACCATCATCTTCTTCTTCCCATTATTATTATTATTTTTATTATTATTCCCTCTTCCTTTTCATTTCTTCTTTATCCTCATCTTCATTTTTTCTTCCATCCTATTCACCATCCTCTTCTTCTTCCCATTATTATTATTATTATTTTTATTATTATTTTTCCTTCTTCTTTTTTTCTATCTTTCATTTTCTACTTCCATGTTTCATCTTCTTAAATATTCCTCTCTCTTATCCATGTAGGATGTTAATTATTTGTTCCATTATATTATTATTCCTATCCTCTTTTACATCATTATTAGGGATATTATAAATTATCAGTTTTTTTTCTTCAAGATTATTATTATATATTTTATCTTCTTTATTTATTTCTTCCTCTCCATCCTATTCATCATCATGAGGATCTTCCCATAATTATTATTATTTTTATTATTATTATTATTCCCTCTCTCTTTTCCTTCAAGATTTTTATGTTCATCTTCTTCATTTTGTTCTTCTCCATCCTATTCACCATTTTCATCAAGATTCCCATTATTATTATTATTTTTATTATTATTATTATTCCTCCTCTCTTTCCATCTTCTTTAGGATTTTTTTCATCTTCTTTCATTTTCTACTTTCCATTCTATTCACCATCATCTTCTTCTTTATTATCAAGATTAGGATGTTATTATTTTTAGATCCTTCTTTTTTATATTATTATTCCTCTTTTCTTTTCATCAAGATCTTTCTTCCCATTATTATAAAATGTAGAGAATATTTTTTATTGTTATATTATTATTCCTCTCTTTTCATCTTTCCATCCCATTCACCATTATTATTCCTTTATAAATTATTATTATTATTATTATTAAGTTGTTCTTGTTATTTTATTATTCCTCTCTCTTTTTTATCCTCATCTTCTTCATTTTCTACTTCTCCATGTTATTCATCATCTTTTTAAATTATTATTATTATTATTATTATTATTCCCTTATTTTCCTTCTTCTTTATCCTCATCTTGTTTAATTTTAGAGAAGTTGTTCTTCCATCCTATTCACCATCCTCTTTTTCTTCAAGATCCCATTATTATTATTATTATTCCCCTTTCCTTTTCCTTGTTTTATCCTTCTTCATTTTCCTCTTCTTCCTATCAAGATGAGGATCTTTAATAAATGATTAGTTTTCCATTATTTATTATTCTTCTTATTTTCTGCTCTCTTTATCATCATCATGAGGATGTTAATAAATATTAGAAGTTATTCTTGTTATATTATTATTCCTCTTCTTTTTACTTATTTATGAGGATATTATATATATTTTACTAGTATCTTATTATTATTATTATTCCTTCTTCATTTTTATTATTTATCCTATTCACCATCTGTTATCCATCCTATTCCCATTATTCTTATTATTATTATTATTATTCCTCTCATTTCTAGTATTCTCCAAGATATTAACTATGTTATATAAATATTTTATTATTCTTATTATATTATTATTCCCTTGCTCTTTATATATATATAGGGATGTTATAGTATTCTATAGAATTTCTTCTTCTTGTTCATTTATATCCTCCTCCTCTTTTACATCAAGATGAGGATGTTATAGATTCTATATTCTTGTTCTTGTTATATATTCCCTCTCTGCTCTTTAGATACAAGATTTGAGGATATTAATATATGTATATTTTGTTCTTGTATGTATTATTATTCCTCCCTCTCTTTACATATAGATGGGATGTTAATAAATGTAGAATTCTATATTATTGTTATATTATTATTCCTCCTCTCTTTATCAGAATGAGGATGTTAATAAATGTAGAAAGTTGTTCTTGTTATATTATTATTCCCTCTGCTCTTTACATCAAGATGAGGATGTTAATAAATGTAGAGAAGTTTTTTTTTTCTTGTTATTATTATTCCCTCCTCTTCTTTTTACATCAAGATGAGGGATGTTAATAAATATAAGTTGTTCTTGTTATATTATTATTCCTCTGCTCTTTACATCAAGATGAGGATGTTAATAAATGTAGAGAAGTTGTTCTTGTTATATTATTATTCCCTCCTCTCTTTACATCAAGATGAGGATGTTAATAAATGTAGGAGAAGTTGTTCTTGTTATATGTATTATTCCCTCTCTTTTACATCAAGATGAGGATGTTAATAAATATAGAAGTTGTTCTTGTTATATTATTATTCCCTCTGCTCTTTACATCAAGATGAGGATGTTAATAAATATAGAAGTTGTTCTTGTTATATTTTTATTCCTCTTCTCTTTTGCATCAAGATGAGGATGTTAATAAATGTCTTAAGTTGTTCTTGTTATATTATTATTCCTCTGCTCTTTACATCAAGATGAGGATGTTAATAAATGTAAGTTGTTCTTCGTATATTAGTTATTTCTTGATAATAAATGTAGTTGTTCTTGTTTATTATTTCCCTCCTCTTTTACATCAAAGATGAGGATGTTAATAAATGTAAGTTGTTCTTGTTTATTGTTATTCCTCCTCTCTTTACATCAAGATGAGGATGTTAATAAATGTAGAGAAGTTGTTCTTGTTATAGAAAGTTGTTTCTTGTTATATTATTATTTCCCTCTGTTCTTTTACATCAAGATGAGGGATGTTAATAAATGTAGGGGAGTTTTTCTTGTTATATTATTATTCCCTCCTCTCTTTGCATCAAGATGAGGATGTTGTAAATGTAGAGAAGTTGTTCTTGTTATATTATTATTCCCTCCTCTCTTTCCATCAGGAGTAGGAATGTTTAATAAATGTTAATAAACATAGTTGTTCTTGTTATATTATTATTCCCTCCTCTCTTTACATCAAGATGAGGATGTTAATAAATATAGAGAAGTTGTTCTTGTTATATTATTATTCCTCTCTCTTTACATCAAGATGAGGATGTTAATAAATATAGAGAAGTTGTTCTTGTTATATTATTATTCCCTCTGCTCTTTACATCAAGATGAGGATGTTAATAAATAGAGGGAGTGATTGTTGTTATATTGTTGTACATCAAGATGAGGATGTTAATAAATGTGGAGTTGTTGTTCTTGTTTATTATTATTCCTCCTCTCTTTACACGAAGATGAGGGATGTTAATAAAATGTAAGTTGTTCTTGTTATATTATTATTATTATTCCTCTCTTTACATCAAGATGAGGATGTTAATAAATGTGTATAGTTGTTCTTGTTATATTATTCCCTCTGCTCTTTACCAAGATGGGATATTAATAAATGAGAGGAGGTTTTCTTGTTATATTATTATTCCCTCTTTACATCAAGATGAGGATGTTAATAAATATAGAAGTTATTTCTTGTTATTATTATTCCTCCTTTTTACATCAAGATGAGGATGTTAATAAATGTAGTGAAGTTTTTCTTATATTATTATTTTCCCTCCTTTCGTAAAGATGAGGGATGTTAATAAACGTGAAGAAGTTGTTCTTTATTCCTCACTCTCTTTACATCAAGATTGGGGAGTTGTTCTTGTTATTATCAGATGAGGATGTTAATGAAGTTGTTTCTTGTTATATTATTATTCCTGCTTTTACATCAAGATGAGGATGTTATTAAATATGAAGTTGTTGTTATATTATTATTAATCAAGATGAGGATATTGGCAAATGTAGAAGTTGTTCTTGTTATAAGATGAGGATTAGTTGTTCTTGTTATATTATTATTTCCTCTGCTTTTTACATCAAGATGAGGATGTTAATAAATATAGAGAAGTTGTTCTTGTTATATTATTATTCCCTCTGCTCTTTACATCAAGATGAGGATGTTAATAAATATAGAGGAATTTTTCTTGTTATATTATTATTCCCTCTGCTCTTTACATCAAGATGAGGATGTTAATAAATGTAGGAGAAGTTGTTCTTGTTCCAAGATGAGGATGTTTATTATTCCCCTCTCATCAAGATGAGGATGTTAATAAATATCAAGATGTTTGGTTATTATTATTCCCTCTGCTACATCAAGATGAGGATGTTAATAAATGTAGAAGTTGTTCTTGTTATATTATTATTCCCTCTGCTCTTTACATCAAGATGAGGATGTTAATAAATGTAGAAGTTGTTCTTGTTATATTATTATTCCTCTGCTTTTTTACATCAAGATGAGGGATGTTAATAAAATATAAGTTGTTCTTGTTATATTATTATTCCTCTGCTCTTTACATCAAGATGAGGATGTTAATAAATGGTAAGTTGTTCTTGTTATATTATTATTCCCTCTCTCTTTTTCATCAAGATGAGGATGTTAATAAATAGAGAAGTTGTTCTTGTTATATTTTATTCCTCTCTTTTACATCAAGATGGGGATGTTAATAAATGTAGAAGTTGTTCTTGTTATATTATTATTCCCTCCTCTCTTTACATCAAGATAGGGATGTTAATGTAAAGTTGTGTATTATTATTCCCTCCTCTTTACATCAAGTTGTTAATAAATTAGAAGTTGTTCTTTATTATTCCTCTGCTCTTTACATCAAGATGAGGATGTTAATAAATGTAGAAGTTGTTCTTGTTATATTATTATTCCCTCTGCTCTTTACATCAAGATGAGGATGTTAATAAATATAGAAGTTGTTCTTGTTATATTATTCCCTCTGCTTTTTACATCAAGATGAGGATGTTAATAAATGTAGAAAGTTGTTCTTGTTATATTATTATTCCTCCTCTCAAGATGGGGATGTTTAAATCAAGAGTTGTTCTTGTTTAGGATTTTACATCAAGATGAGGATGTTAATAAATGTAGAAGTTGTTCTTGTTATATTATTATTCCTATGCTCTTTACATCAAGAAGGATGTTAATAAATGTAGAAGTTTTTTCTTGTTATGTTATTATTCCCTGCTCTTTACATCAGATGAGGATGTTAATAAATGTAGAGTTTTTCTTGTTATATTATTATTCCTTCTTTTGTTAGGGATGTTAATAAATGTAGTTGTTCTTGTTATATTATTATTCCCTCTCTTTACATCAAGATGAGGATGTTAATAAATATAGAAGTTGTTCTTGTTATATTATTATTCCTCTACTTTTTACATCAAGATGAGGATGTTAATAAATGTAGAGAAGTTGTTCTTGTTATATTATTATTCCTCCTCTCTTTACATCAATGAGGATGTTAATAAATATAAGTTTTCTTGTTATATTATTATTCCTCTGCTCTTTAGAAATCAAGATGAGGATGTTAATAAATGTAGAAGTTGTTCTTGTTCTTATTATTCCCTCTCTCTTTACATCAAGATGAGGATGTTTAATAAATGTAGAAGTTTTCTTGTTATATTATTCCCTCTGCTCTTTACATCAAGATGAGGATGTTAATAAATGTAGAAGTTGTTCTTGTTATTATTCCCTCTGCTTTTTACATCAAGATGGGGATGTTAATAAATATAGAAAGTTGTTCTTGTTATATTATTATTCCTCCTCTTCTTTTTACATCAAGATGAGGATGTTAAGTTGTTCTTAATTATTTTCCCTCTTTTACATCAGATAGAGGATGTTAATAAATATGTTGTTCTTTATATTATTATTCCTCTCTCTTTCATCAAGATGAGGATGTTAATAAATGTAGAAGTTGTTCTTGTTTATTATTAAATGATGAGGATGTTAATAAATATAAGGAGTTCTTGTTATATTATTATTCCTCTTCTCTTTACATCAAGATGAGGATGTTAATAAATATAGAAGTTCTTGATTCCCTCCTGTTACATCAAGATAGGATATTAATAAATGTATGAAGTTGTTCTTGTTATATTATTATTCCCTCTTCTTTTACATCAAGATGAGGATGTTAATAAATGTAGAAGTTGTTCTTGTTATATTATTATTCCCTCCTCTCTTTACATCAAGATGAGGGATGTTAATAAATAGAGAAGTTGTTCTTGTTATATTATTATTCCTCTGCTTTTTACATCAAGATAGGGGATGTTAATAAATATAGAAGTTGTTCTTGTTATATTATTATTCCTCTTCTTTACATCAAATGAGGATGTTAATAAATATGAAGTTGTTTCTTATTATTATTTCCCTCTTCTCTTTTACATCAAGATGAGGATGTTAATAAATGTGAAGTTGTTCTTGTTATATTATTATTCCTCTCTCTTTTACATCAAGATGAGGATGTTAATATAAATGAAGTTTGTTCTTGTTATATTATTA